CTTCTCACTCCTTTTGGTTCAGATCTGGTTCAGTTTATGGTTCAGAATTGATCCTTGAAAATATGATTTTCTAAATGGGGAATACGATTCCTAGTTGAAGGGAGAGAAAAATTTTTGAAATTCGCCCCTTATTCTGCAATCTTTTGGGCGTCCATAGGATGGATCTCTCATCCCTTCAGTTCAACATTCCTAAAGTCCTCTAAAAAGAGACACAAAATGTCCAAAATACCCATGAAGTTACTATTAAAGCTGGTTTCTCTTGAAAACACAATACAAACTTTATGAAAACAAAAAAAAAAAGAGAACTTAAGAGAATTTAAAGTTGTAGCTTTACCTTCAAGCAATTGATATGAAGGGCAAATTCAGAAAATAAATCAATTTTAGAAAAGAGATTAGAAGAGTTTGGGATAGTGATTCATATGTAAGGAAAACTCGGAAAATAAACATTTTGGCCAAAGTAACTACATGGGTATTTTGGATATTTTCATGTCTCTTTTAGAGGAGTGTAACAAAGAGGGCCTACTTGCAACGTCAAAAAGTTTAGGGGATGTGATTGTAATTACCAAACTTCAAGAGAGGTCTCAACATTTTACCTTTTTTATAAATCCCAAAGGGAGCTACACAAGATAGAGGTAGCACATCACCACAAATCATTAGAATTAGGGGTGCTCACTGTTCGGTTTCGTGGGGTTATTTTTTGAACCGAACCAACCTGATCGGTTTTTTGAGTATTCAAACCGAAATCGAACCGATGCAACCAGTTAACTGTGGTTCAATTTTTTGGCTTTTTATGCACTCAAAATTAAAAAAAAAAATAGAAAGGTTGTCGATCGATTTGGGATTTTTTCCCATTGGGGAAGAAGAAGAAAGATGAGAGAGAGAAGTAAGAGACGAGAAACTGAGAACTCGGACGCCGTCGGTCGGAGACTCAGAGGCCGCCGGTCGGTCTAGGGAAGAAGAAGACTAGAGAGATGAGAGACTAACAACTGAGAGTGAGAGAGAAAGGGGATGGTGTTTACTCTGAGAGAGATAGAGAGAGAATTGAGAGACGAGAGATTGAAAACTCAAAGGTCATCGATCGGAGCCCAGAGGTCATCAGTCGGAGACTCGGAGGCCGTCGATCAGTCTGGGAAGAAGAAAACCAGAGAGATGAGAGATGGAGAACTGAGAGTGATAGAGAAAGGGAAAGGCGTTTAATTTGATTCGAAGAGAGGAAGATTAGAAAAGGGTATTTGCAGTTTTCATGGGGATGCACGTTGCTATAGAAGACTAGATCTACAAGACTACAATAGGAAATCATGAAAATTTGAAAAGTTGACTAGCTAGTTGTAGTTGACTAGCTAGTTGTAGCAGACTACAATAGGAAATCATGAAAAAGGTGAAAACAACAGAAAGTCAAAAAGAGAAAGGATTGTACTTAAAACTTTAAAAGAGAAAGCGAGAACGCCGAGAAGCCTATTCGATTTTCAAAAATAATAAAGTAAAATATAACATACCAGTCGATTCGGTTAACCATTGGTTTTTTAAGGTTAATCAAAACCAAACCGACCGATTCGGTTAACCGAGTTTTCAGTTCAATTTCGATCGCTTTTTTTGGTCGGTTCAATTTTTCGGTTTATTTTTCTCACCCCTAATTAGAACAAATGAAAGCTAAAGACCAAGGAAGATCACAACGATTAAGAAATACAAACCCTTACACGTTTGATTTATCTTCATGAAAGCTTAATTCAACTTGTAGTACACGTTTCTATATAGTAGACTTGTTTGTGGGCTAAGCTCGGGCTTGGCTTTCTCCAAAATTTGAATGGGGTAAGCCTGTGAATAGGTCTGTTGTGCATTAAGCCTTTACCAAGTAGATCCTTTATTTCTAGGAAATCATGAATGATGTTCCTTAATCTCCATGGTGAGCCTAGCACTTGTTGAAGGCAAGAGGATATCACAAACTTTGAGTATCCCTTGATGATATTGGAGTGATATTTAAAGTTTAGCACTAGGCTGTGGGCTTCCCATGCAGCCCGAGCTTTGGCAATGTTGATGGTGGTGTTAATGTTGTTGGCTTTAAAGTCAACTACTTCACCAAGCTGGTTTCTCCTATACTGGTTGTTGAGTAGATACCACTACTAATACAGGAAGTATAAAAATTTGTTTTTATTGTTCCATGTTCAAGGGTTAACACTATTGTTTAAGGTGAAACCTAAAAACAATGGAAGAAGAAGAAGGGATAAGAAGAGAAGAAGAATAAATGTTGTGAAGATGTGTTTCAAGTTACTGTTCATACTAGAGACTAAAAGTTTATAATGTTATTAGAAGTACAAATTTGCTCTTACTTGGGCGCCCAAATATAGAGAGGAAATGAAAAAAATAAAAAATAAAAAAAGCCTTTTCATCATATTGCATATTCTAAACACACCCCTCAAGCTAAGCATAAATATTTTTCATGCCCAGCTTGCCTAGGTTACTATCGAACTTCAACTTGTGAAATCCTTTATGGTACGTTTGGTTTGTGTGACTAGGATGGGAAAATAGGAATATTCCCATTAAATTCTTTTTTTCCCAGGTTTGTTTGTCAAGATGAGATGGGAAACTATGTGATGCCACTTCTCAAAATCAAGGACACGGGGTCGTGGTGAAATGGTGTGATCCAATGAGAAAGAGAAAGTTATGGAAAAAAGTATCGAGTCTTTCGACTAAAGTTCCATAGTCAACTCTCATCGCCTCCCTGCATCTACAATGGTCAAGCTTCCGACAACATTCCTGGCAATATCCGACCAAGGTAAGACCAAATCCATGATCATTGATGTCTAGTGACTATTTTTTAGTCCATTTTTTTGTGCCACCGGTCTCCTTGTGCTGTTGGGAAGAAATGGTCATTTGCCGGCCAAAAGCCATTGTTTCTAATGTTTAAAGTCATAGCTTGTTGAGTGGGGACCCACTGGAAAAAGATCTTTGTGACTCAAGTAGAGATTGAAGGTGAAGCTTTGATAAGGGGTTGAAGGTGACACTCAAGTAGAGATTGAAGGTTGGGTTTCTGTCCCCCAAAGGCATCTTGTAGTACACCATTCTGATGCTGAAACTAATGGTCATGACTGCCATTAACCATCAAAAGGCCT